GGAGGGGTAAGTGGAAGGAGGTGAGGGAGGAATGGGGTACGAGCCCCCGATGGGGAGGACTGGGCTGGCTCTGCGGGCTCCTCAGGGTGGAAGCTCTCCTGAAGCCCCTTGATTGACCCCTCCCCCCTCCGGATGTCAGCCTGTGGCAAATGCAGCTGGTCTGATGGCCGAGTGCTGTGATGTGCCCAGTGTGGGCACTCAGGGCACTCCAAGCCAGGACTGCTTTGCAAGCGGGGCACCCCTGAGAACTGTCTGTCCGGGGTGGGGGTCGGGTCTCTTTAAGCGCAGCCCTCGGCTAGCCTGAGACAGCATCTCCACGCTCTAAGTCCTCCTCTGATGCCCTGCCGGCACTGCTTCCGGCCATCCTTAACCTCGGTTCAGGGTCCACTCAGTGTGGACATGCTAGTTCGAATGAGCAAAATGCTAATTCGAACTAGTTTTTAAGTCTAGATGCACTAGTTCGAATTAGCTTAGTTTGAATTACCTAATTCGAATTAAGTTAGTTCGAATTAGTGCTGTAGTGTAGACATACCCAAGTTTCTTTTGGTTTGGTATCTAGTGCTGGGATGCCTGGACATGGAGCATGAGGGCAAAACAAGCTCAGCAGCTAGGGACCCCTGGCTTCTGCCCTCAAAATGTGAAACAAGGAAAAGTGAAAATGTTTGAGGATTCCTGCAGCACCTTGTCCCCCTGCCCAAAAGATAACAAACCATGCCAGATACCTGCTGCATAGAAAGCTGCACATGTGTTTTTCTGCCCCAAGAGGGTGAAGGATGCAGGGGTTCTATAAGGCTAGTATGGCTATGTCTACACTACAGAACTTTTCCAGGGTACCAGAGGTATCCCGGAAAAGCTCTGCCATGTCAAAGGAACACATCTGCTTTTCCGAAATTTTTTTTGGAAAAGTGGACATGGTTTTTTTGGCATCCCTGTAAACCTCTTTCTACGAGAAAGATGGGATGTTCTGAAAGAGGGTTTTCCCCCCAACATTTGGCCCCGTGTAGATGGGCCAAATGTCAGAAAAGCCTCTTTCGGAAGAAAAGCAGAAAAAGATATGCAAATTGAGTATCTTTTTCCAACTTTTCTTTGTAGTGTAGACACAGCCTATGTTTTGACAATACCAGGAAAACAAAGGGACTCCAGGTCAGCATAAAGCTGCAGCAAAACAGGAGCACCTTGCTAGGTGTTGAAACTACGAGCGTTAGAATGCAGGTTAACCACTTTGTTGCCGCTTACCATTCCAGGTACATTGGGCTAAAGGCACCTCCATCCAGTGCTGCCTGACGTGCCAGGTACATCCCATGATGTTCCATTGAAATCACAACAGGCCATCAATAGAACGTGGCTGCACAGATGCTGAATGAAGAACCAGCAGGGACACTGTTAAATGCAATTGAGAAAGTGCAATCAAAATTGAAACGTACATTTCAAGCGGCTACCTAATTCACAGACAACAATGGCTTCTATCATTAACCCTCTCTTGGACTATCATGCAGTAGCACCGTAGTGTAGATGCTTCTTATGCTGATGAAAGAGGCTTTTCCATCTACCTAGTTAATCAAACCCTCCAAGACAGAGCAGGTAGCTTTGTTTGCACCAGGGATTAGATCAACTTAACTACAGCATTCATGGCACAAAAGTGTTCACAGCCATGGATGAGGAAGTTATGCTGATCTTATTTCTAAGTGTAGACCAGGCCTCAGCGTACCACAATAAAAATGGAGCTCATTGATTATTTAGGACTTTCACTGTGTCTCAGTGAATTCATGGCAAACTACACCATGGTTCTCAATAGCTTTGAAACAGAGGCTTGTTTCACACCTAAAATGTACATCAACCTAATTACATTGTACAAAGCTGTGAAAATGTCATGTCCTGTGCAACCTAGCTGAACTTCCTGAAGGGAGGTTCCAAAGAAGATGGAGAGAGGCTGTTCTCAGTGGTGGCAGGAGGAGGAGAAATGGTCTCAAGTTGCAGTGAGGGAGGTCTAGGTGCCACCCACTGACCCTGAGGGGGAAACACCCCTTCCTGAGCCATGGTGGGCTCACCTGAATGACTCACCTGGGAGGAAGCCAGGGGGCAGGGCCAGGGATATCAAAGGCCTGCCCAAAAGGCCAGTCAGGAGCCAGCCAGCAAAGAAGCCTCCCCAGTCCAACCAAGTGAGGAGCCAGCCCCTGGGGAAACTGACTGGCCTGGGCTGCCAGGCCCATTGCTGGAGGACTACCTGGAGAGTCTGCTCATCTGGTGGGAGGACTCCAACCCTCGCTGCCCAGAGGACCTGCTCCGGATCCAGGTACAACCCGAGGGGGGGAGACATGGAACCGGCCCAGGGATAGCCGACCTTGGTTTGGCAGAGGGTCAGTGGGCTGCAGTACGGACGCTCACTGGCCCAGCAACAGAAGGTCAGTGTGTTTCAGCCGACTGCTTGGCTGCTGTTAGGGCCCTGGGCTGGGATGTGGTGGTGCAGGGAGGGCTCATGTCCCCCCTGCCACCCACCAATCGGGTAGCAGTCTGCCCCTCCTCTCTGCTACCACAGGCAAGGTGCCTGAACCCACCCGTTGAGAACTGGTTTGTTTGACTGCAGCCCCGCCCTGCACTAGGGCTGGGCTATAAACTGTTTTGTTGCTGCAGCCCCGCCCTGAACTAGGGCTCAGACTTAGTCTGCATTGTGGCTGGCCCCCCCTGA